GGAAGCCATCGATCTTGCTCCTTGACCTCGAACTCGTAACCTATCTGGGCTGTGTTCTCTTCTGTGTTCCGGTCCATGGGCTGTTCTTCGTCAGGCGACTGGGCTGGTTCCACGCCCTCCTGCTTTGGGGGAGAGGCCGACATATTATCGGTTGCGCGGTCGGCAAGCGGATGCGCTGGCGGACTATTTCGTTGGCGACCACGTCACTGGGAGAGACGACGGGGGGGGGGGGGCGAGCTGGCGGCCGAGTCTGCAGGCTGCGGGTCACTGGTGTAACAAGGAGGCTGCGCAAGGGAAACGGTTAGTGGCATGCAACAGGTGCAGGCGGCCTGGGAAGCAGCTGACTGACGTACGAGGGTGGCTGCGACCGAGGGTCGAGAGTGGAGAGGGGAGAGTGGAGAGTGGGCGCGCAGGCGAGTGGAGAGGTGGGCGGGCCGCAAACTGCTTTGTCCGTCAGCGACCGAGTGAATACATGGGATGGGATGGACGGCGCGAGGGCGCCCATGCCGAGCCTGCGTGCGCGCGGCCCCGACCGACGACGGGCAGACGGGCAGACGGGCAGCCGGCGACGAGGCAGGTGCAGGTGCGACGCGTGAGCCCACGGCCGACGGAAGCGGGCAGGAGCGACGGGCAGAGGTGGCAGGCGCGACCGCGAGGGGGAAGGCGGTTGCGACACGCCCCAGCACTCACTCACTCGCTCACTCGCTCGCTGGCTCCTCGACTGCCTGGATGCTGGCGCACTTACTTGGCTGCTGCTGCTGCTGGCTTGCTCGCTGGCTGGCTGGCTTCACACACTCACATCCACACCCACACGGGCAGACAGGCCCCAACGGCGCGCGCGCGCAAGAGGGCGAGAGAGAGGGCGAGAGAGGGCGGGCGTGTTACGATGCGCGGCGCGACAGCCTGTGCGACGCTGGCGGTTGGGCGTGGCGATGGGCTAGCGGTGCCAGTGCGATGCTATGCAGGCGGACGCTGGGCAGGGCGACAGGGCGACGGGGCGGGTCGAGTCAAGGGCGTAATCCGGGCGCTGGACTGGCGGCGGTGCTGGCAATGGGATTTCCACGAGCGGTTGCGCTTTCGGTCGCGATGGAGGTGAGCAGTGGGAGACGCGCCTGCCAATAGGAGCGCGAGGAGAAGATGGAGGGGGGGGAGGCTTT